TTGTGGGTAACCGATTTCGCATAGAAAGTTTTCAACAAACGCCAGTTCTTCCTCAACCTTTTCTTCGGATCACACTTTGCAAGAATGGTTCTAAAATGTTCCTACCAGAGGTTTTTTGTAAGTGATTAACTAAAAACTGTTAAACTTTTAAATAAAGCCCACACTAGTTATCTTTTCAATGAATATGCCTATGAATCTTTCTATTTGTATGACGCTTTAGGCTGTGGTCTTGAAGGTGAAATCTGTTGTCATGTTCAGATTCCGTTAGGAATGCACACTAGTATTGTTCTTCTTGCTTTATTCAGATTCTTGAGAGTGAAGAACTATACGATATTACTATTTTACTTAAAATTGCTTCAAAAAGAAGTATCAGTGATGGAGCAAAACACTTCATTAATATACAGGAAAGCGTTGAGTACTGTGGTACAGTTTAGTTCCATATTAGATTGTTTATTTGATTAATATAGCACACAGCGACAAAGTATAATTTTCTGGATAACACTCCGAGCAGAATCTATTGCTCATATTCATATCAAACTAATCATAGGACTTTCAAACTTCCTTTATATTGTGCAATCTTTGTGTGCTGCTATTCTGATTGACGTAGATCGGCTGCTTTGACCTATATATTTGACCTCATAATCATGACATGACATTTGATAGATTAGGTCATCTTCCTAACTCACTCTGTTAGATATTTTAACCCACAAAGTTTCTTTCTGAGCAAGTTCATGGGTTTAAATGTCAGGCTAATCCCAGCATTGTTTAGAATTCTACGTGAAATTTCCCATCTACCTTCTTGATATGAGAACATTACAAAGTAGTTGAATTCCCTCTTGAGGATGTTGCAGTCACCACTAACAATAACACTCCTTCTTCGACCAGTCCTTATAAATATTTTAATAAACTCCGGAGGAAATTTATTAAAACACAGTGTCCCTCTCACGTGTTTCATTTTCTCATTTAAGTTTCTCACCTGCTACTCAAACTCTTAACCCAATTATTTAGACATAGAAGTATGATGATATGCAATCGAAGCATCTATTCGAATGTGTCGATTTTCTTTACACACTGTTATCTAAGTTTCCTTCGTCCCTTCTATTGATTTCGCAATCCACCACAGATAATACTTCTTCCTCATTTTCTCATTTATAAGTGAATTGGAATGCATCTACTATCGAGTTAATGAATGCTTAAAAACTGAGGATGTTTCCTGAATTCAGCGCGGTAAATGTGTCACCTACATATCGCCACCATAGGTTTCAGAGTGGGTTGGAGTGTTATTCGTTTCCACAGAACTACGTTTTCAAATTCAGTGGAATTCATTTAAAGCCTGGATCTCACCATTATCATGGTAGTGTTTTAGTCTTAGCAGCCTATGCGAAAAATCTTGAATTGTATACAGAAGTTAAATATGTTTAGCTCTAAGTATCTTTTTCGAACTATTCGTTTCTAGCAAGCTGAGTGTCAATGATGGGAGAAAACACTTCACTGATGTTAACAGCAGAGTATTTAATGTCATAAAGTACTTTCACAACTTAATAAAGTTATAAATATATAGGAATGAACTCTGCTTTCTGCATGCCACTTGAACATCAGAATCCGATTACAGTGTCTTATGTTGATTTTAAAGTATCTCCATAAGTCCATGGTAAACAGTTAAACATGCATTTTTTTTTCATTTCATTTGGTCTAAATGAACAATTTAGGAAGTCTACTGGTCAACAGATTTAACCTAGATTTTAACAATTATAGTTAAGCCACATCCATCTTCATGTGTACACACACAAACCAGTCTCCTAAACAGAAAATTCCTTCATTGAATAGACAAGAGTAGCAAATTCTGGAACATAATATCAATTCCCATACATTTAATTATTATCGTGGTTATTTTATGAATGCAAATACAATTGGTTATTTGAAAAGAAATTCCTAACTGAAGGTTTTACAGCCTGAATCGCAATATGAAAAAAATATCAGCGCAGAACGTGATATGGAAATCCATCAGTTCAAGTCACCACACCACACAGCAGTATGCAAAACAATGACAATAAAGAGCACAGTGAATAAACAAAATAAAGATTAGTGAAAATGGTCTAAATTTCAAAGATTATAAAGAGTGAAAACAATGGCACCACAGCGACCTGTTTAGAGCAGTATGTTCAAGTGCCTCCAGTCACAGACCCCTACAATCTCAAAAAATTTATTAGTTATTTCCAAGTCTTGAAGTGACTATCTTTAGCTTTCTTTGAACCTAATCAAGTCTCAGGTAATTTTTCACTTTGAAGTAAGTGATTGTTTGACATGTATGACATACACTTAAGTCAATGAAGTTTCAAAGTGACTTCAAATGACTTGTCTTCCTTGCGTTGTACTGTACACTTTGTCTCAACATCGTTCAAATGTCGGCCTCACAAGTCAGAAATACCTAGAAGACATTATTAATCCCAAACCTTCAAACTCAAGGCCTATCCAACATGCAACGTTTATATCTGACATCGACGCAAAAGAAGAAAGTCGAATACTGCGCAATGCACTCAGGTTTTCTTAGATAGTCATATGTCTTATCTGTGATAGAAATAGTATAATTTGACTAACTTTAAGCGCATACTTTGTATCCAAAGTGAAATTTTATCATTAAGTAACCGATTAAAGCTGACACAACTCTCGGGTAATTAAAAAGGTCAAAGCAGTTCATCATCTCACTCCTCGTTCGTAAAATAAGAGTTATATCGATCAATCCTAAAGCATCTTTTGTTTTTTGACATGTGCAAAACTCATATTTAGCATACTCAGAAGTTCGCTAAAAAGGTTTACATCCCACTAAACCTTGTAAGTTGCTGCGTCTCAAAGACTGTCACTTGCATACTTTTAGTAAACGAGACATCATAGTGATACTTGCTCGTTTCCTGCAAAGCGGGAAATACGATCACTTCAATCAGTATCTCCATATCAAAATTGAATAAGAATGGCAATAGAAGATATCAACGTTAAGCGAAGTCGCTTGTTGATACCTAAGTAAAGAACAGCACGTATTTACTTAAACATCTGTATGAGCTCAAGTACAGAACCTTGGTAAACATTATGTACCTACTCGACACCCACTTTAAAGTCAGACACTACCACGCTGCCAGTCATTTGACAGAATAAAATGTAACTTTGGAATCGGATTGTATGGCAGTCGTTTAGACATGGAAATGTGCATGTATTTCAAAATCTGATCATCATATCCCAATCAAGGCTTTAAATCTGTCTGACTTTCTCAAGTTTATTGTTAACAAACTCAAAATTGATATGGATCTTGCAAACGACATAAGCCAACTTTTTCTTCACATGGCTTTCTCAGGAAGATTTCTCTTTGTTCTAATAAACTAGAATTATTAGCAACCTAGTCCGATCTCACTAGACCACTCGTAGTTCACTAGTTATTAAACTGCTGTAATAATTCGTATTTGACTCCATGTTTCAGGTTTCAAAAGGTCATTTCAATCTTGCTGAAAGTTGCACACTCAACATCTACATTTCACTAAGTCTAACAGTAGGCAACTGGACGGTATCTGAAGGTCAGTCTAGCTGTTCTCAAAACATTCCGACCAACGCTGAAGTGAACTTCCCTAAGAATTTACCACGAAGTTTTTGTATTCCATTTGATTGTTAAGAAATTTTACCGCCACTTGTTTCTTGTACAAAACAAGCAAGGTTCAGAAATCCATGTTCCAAAGATCACACACTTTCATAATTCAGATAGACATTTCAATCTCTTATGGACCATGTAAATCAGTAACTTGTAGTAATATCTATTTGTGTTTATCGTTGGCTGGATATTGGCGAACAGTGAATGTGACCGTATAGCCCCACATATTAGATGTTCGTGTGAACATGAAACGGGTAATCGTCACTACAAAATAGACTGGCATAGTTGTCAGTTCATCAACCTGAGACTCCGTTAATACCCTCAAGATTTCATTCTGTTTGGTTCAACCTCCCCACGTCAGCTTAGCTCGTCCGTGTCTGAATACTGCGTTCTATGTAGCGAGATTGGTAGTTCTAGATTAAATTTTTGTATTCACTTCATCAGGACTGCAGTCGCTGAATACATGGGTACAGAATATAAATGGACGTCAATGTGTGTTACTTTTCTTTCTTGTCTTTCGAAATTCACTTCATCGGGAGGTTAACTTCTGACTTCCAGTTTAGAATTCCAACTAATACTTTCAAACTAAATGCTACCTTTACACCAGAGAGTCAATGGGAACCAACCGTTGAAACTTCAGGCAGTCATAAGGTGATTGCTGTAGATTTATCACACTGAATAAGTGAGGTCAGGTGAATAACCACAACTGGATCTAGCATGTTTATCACAAAATCATGACATACACCGGTGACCCCACATTTCAGATCTTTGATGTGTTAGGTATGTTGTCCAATTTTACTTAGGGTTTGGTCGTTAAAATTTCAGATTGTGATATTGTCAGCATAGTTTTAGGATACTCAGAATAGCGTTTCCCTGTTTCAATTGGTTAGACACGGTCAGTGAATCTAAAGGCGAGGGAACTTGAGGGAAAACTATGTTGAAGTGCACGTGTGTAGTGAATTTAAAGACAGGAACAAAGTTAAGGAGGCTATGCTAGGGTTTGGTGGGTTTCATACTGGGCTACAAGTCCTCAAGTGGTTGATGCTTACTGACTGTTGAGATCACAGAAGTTTGTGTCTTTATGTGATATCTGAAAGTGAAATGAATTAGCTGAGTGTGATTAAAGTGCTGAAGGAACCTCTCGATTTAGCGGTCCTTTTAAGAGCATCTATTTTCGAATACTGTCTTTCGATGATTATCAAGCAGTAGAAAGCCTTCTTTATGCCAGCTGTTTGCAGCTACTCAACACAAGGAACAGGGTTAATTAGTTTTCTGGGGAATTCAGTGGAACTTTGCCAAACGATTAAACACATGTGAATTATAACAAACTCTGTACTAATTATTTCTCTTGTTTTAAAGTAAAATTAATCAATAACATTTAGTATACGTAATTATATGCATATGTGACATGCCTATATCTCTTCATTTGTGAAAATGCAAAAAAGGTGTAACACGGTTGACTAAGAAAGCATTTAACAATTATTTCAGTATATTACTTATTCACACTTTTTAACCCAGCCAATCAAAATCCAGTTTGCTTGCCTGACGAGGTCGAATAACTCTGATTGGTTGTTGTACTGTGCTGAAGTTGACGATGGGTCCATTTTAGATATTTGTTAAGCCTACGCATAAAACAGTTGTAAACTTTAACTACAGACATTGAGTGACCGATTGTTGGACACAGAAAACGATTGGTATCCATTATTACACAAGAAAGGCGTCAGTAATAATACTAATGTCGTTACAATTGCCTATCATATCAGAGAAGGGGGCTTATGTACTGAGTTTGCAGTAAATGCGTAGATAACTGAGAAAGAGAAAAAAAAGAAAGAACAGAAGCACAATCAGGCCAGATATTAACTACTGGTTGATTATTTATCAATTAACATGACAGAGAATGCACCACCAATGTTGTTGAATGAAGCCCACTTTCTCATTGGACAAAACGCTCTTAAAAATATACAGCTGAACAATACTGATGACGATAATGACATTGTTGCTGTTGTAGATGGTGAAAATTATCCTAATGACAATAATATCATTGATAACTGTGATAATGATGAAGAGATGCATCACGATTTGAGTACAGTACTTGAAACTGATTCACATAGTATGGAATCGGGTAAAACTGTTAGTGTATCTATACCAATGAGAAAGAAAATAGTGACAAATTCTAACGGTGTTATTCACATCTACCGTAGTAACGATTTGTATGATAATAATTCCTCAAATATGAATGATTACTACAATCATATGGGTGGTGATAACGATGAAATTACTGACGACGTTGATGATGATATTGGTGTTGGTGACGGACAGTCAACTAATGAACTTGATATAACCGATGAATCCTTATCCTATAATACTCCTTACCAAGGACCACAAGTCAATATTTCATTAAGAAGAGACAATCAGATGATTGATGCACCATATAAACGACCTAATAAGAGTCATACATTATCGAATAATACAAACTGGAAAGTGTTAAAACCTCAGAAATCAAAAGAATATGTCCTATCAGTATCACCTCGTCAAACATTGCCAAGAAGTTTACAACCATTTACTCGTGGTAACTATACGGTAAAACATGAGCACTCACATATGAATGGAATCAATAGTAATGGCAATAACGGTGGTGGCGTGGGCGGCAGTGGTGGTCCCTTTGAATATTGGACTATCCCAAGAAATTCACAACCGCATTATAAATTAAGAAATTCAGACAACTCTGGGTTTTATATGCCAGGAAGTTTATTTCTCCATGAAAAAACTCAACCACGTTCACGTCGTAAAGGACATAAAAATGTTAGAGAAAGAAGTGAAGCTTTGCTTAGCGAATCAGGCCATAGTGGTAGCAAGCATCATAATCGGCGTATATCTTCAAAAGTTGTCGATAAGACTGGAAGTATTAATGCCAATAATAACAGTAACAATCATCCTCTTAATCCCCACGAGAATGATGTAGTAAATATGACTGATGCAGAGAAGCGCAGAAGCGAGCTGAAAGTGAGTTAAAATTCCCAATATCATTGTACTGAAGTATCTGATTTAGTTTTTCGCTTTATACATGCTTAAATGTCACCACGTTGGTGATATTAGTATCAAAATATGAAAAATAGTGACAGCAACAATGTGAACAGTTTCTAAGACAGAGAAAGCAGTTTTCAACAGTATCCAGCAGATGTGAAATAAACGTACGAGTCAATATTCACCTTCAAGATTAAAATTATAACCATAAAACTTGAAAAATGAATTAGTCAACATAGTCATAGAGTACTAGAGTTTTGAGCAAGTTATCTCAGTAGCCTTACCAAATCGTTTAAGCTCTAAAAATTGACTTGGGTTTAAGATTAACCTATGAAATTAGTTATCATCTGGAGGAGCCTTAGTAAACGATAAAAGAATGTGAAACTTAAAGCCTCATTTTCGTTACTCCCCTTGAATGTTAAGCTAAGACATTAAGATCATAGTTTAATTTCGAATCGGTACCAAATAGTCTGCATATTCTGGAAATGGGGGATGTTCCAACTAGATCTAGTGAATTTCATAGACTCTTAAATTGGCATCTAATGAAAGCTATTCAGTATAAGATCTGTATAAAGCTAGGACTACGTCTTCCATATCAAATATCCTGCTGTTTGAACATCAGAACATAACATATTACCAGTGAGCGTTTTAAATTGTCTGACTTTTAAAGTGATCATTTTCCGAATTACATGCAGCTTTACTTCAATACTTTCTACTGATAGTTTTTAAGAGGTACATAGTACATAGTAAGGTAGTATTATTTAGTCTCACGATTTATTTTACAGTTCTACCAACACTCAGGCTAGAATATCAATTTACCAGTTACTTCAATCATGTTAATTAGTGGTATTTTACCAAGTAACTTTATCCGGTCTTCCCTCAGAAATCCCATCACTCTTATTTGTGAGAATGTGACATTTGTAACAGGAGTCCAGAAGTTTGACAACAGTTTCTGACCGTGAAATCCACAGAACAAGTGAAATGAGCAAACTGAAGACAGCCAACACTTCTTAGTGTTCAGTGACTGCTTACATCACACTTATTATTAGGCTAGTAAAACAGAAGCACTGAGTTTGCTCAGTGACTATATATATATATATATATATATATATATATATATATATATATATATATATATATATATATATATATTAATTCAGTATCAGTTTACTAACATGAAAAAAGTTATAAGAAGGCTTAAATTGGCCTTTGTAAGTACTGCAAACAACCTGTATCAGACACGTTTAGAACAGGATGAGTTAAATTTCAAGCAGTTCTGAAGATAAAATGGGCTGTCTGTTATAAATCTATCTACGCTACATCTCTCTATCAAAATATACATGTCCTATTCGCAGGGAATTATATAGGCTGTAAACATCCAGTGCAAAGTTTCTAAGAATGTCGTAGAAGAATTTAAGCTCCAAGTGTTATTTTTTTTAATTATATAGGCTCAGCAGAAAGCCAGTATTTTTCTCAATGCTTCTTTCTGCCCATTACTTAATCACTTTGGGAAATGACCTACTAGATATAACCATATTCTTGTAAGTAATAAATTGGTCGCTTTATTCCACACATTGTTTTTAATACACTTTAATACTTCTCAGTATGTAATATTGTATTAAAATGTATTTCTTTACAACCAATAATAGATGCAGAATTATAAGAATTAAACAGACATTTCTTTACTTCTGAAAAGTTGATCTGACGTCACTATTTCCCCTTCATAAGATATGTACTGTTTTGTGTTTATGAACTTGCTCCTCATCTTGTATGAGGCCATATAATAAGGAACTTTTGAGCAAAGACAATACTAAATATATGGTGAAATAATTATAACCAACTGCTATGCAGGAGTTCAACTATCTACTGACTACAACCATCTTTGATTCTAACTAAAAAGTAATCACATTTCACTTAATTTTGTGCATACTTTATTCACTTTTCAATTTTTGTTAATGAAATTCAGAAGAATAGTTGTTTTAATGTGGGGATAATTTCCTAAATCGATTTAAATTCTTTATATGTACTCTAATAGATACAATATAAAAGTGTCTAATCTACATCTTCTAAATAAGTGACCTATAAAGTGAATTACTTATTTCTTAAAAAGACATCGTCTCAAAAGATTGTGATTACTATCAAACTTCTTGAAGGTATTTCTGGTGTCAGGTCCAAAAGACTGCAGAGAACAAAGTGTACTGGAAGCGTGCTACTGAAACCCTATGTTCCACTAGGAACCCAAGGGGAAGGTAATAATAATGTAATAATAATTAGCACAGTAGATTACTCAGAACCTAGGCTTCCACTGAATGGTTTTTACTACCGTCCCAAACGTTATGCAAATAACTTTAAGCGTATCAATCAAAAACCTTTTTGCCAGTTTACAATCATTAGTACGTAATCTAACCGTTGTTTATGTTTCAATTCAATAGTTCAATCATTGTCACTTAGGATATCCTTCAAAAATATTTTCAACCAATAAAAAAGATCCAGTACAAGAAAGCATTACCTAGACAACTATTATTAGTGAGTTGCAGTTTATAACATTTCTTGGCAAAAACTCGAAGTAAAGTTTAAACTGTAGGAACTGGAGGGCTGTCATTCTTTTGCACACATTAAGTCTATATTGAAGAAGAAAGAACATACAGGATAGCTGCACCAAGACTTTTCCTTGAACATACTAATACTGAAGTTCTGAGCCTGAAGATGGAAGACAGTGTATGAGTTCATCATTTCCAAGATCTACCCTAGTACATAGGTATTGTTGAAATCAAAAGGTTCTCCAGATTACGAAAACTGATCTGAGTCTGTGCTGCTAGAAATATCACAAACAAAGCACATAACATATACCGTTCACTTATTAGTTACGTATGAATCAATCTAAAAATTACCAACTATTTTCTCTGTTTTGATTGTACATTTCTTTCTTCAGTAGGTACATATTCCTGATATCGCTAAAAGGCTTGTTTCAGTCAAACAAAAGAGAATAGTCTTGGCACAGTACAAGAACAAACGTCTATACAGGAGTAGAATTCAGACGCTATGGTAGTGAATAAACTCACGACAGATATTTTATTTATCACACAGCAGGATTCATTGTTGATAATTGTGTTGAGGTGATATGGTTATGAGTAATAAGTTGTGCTGGAAAGCGACAGCTTGACACAATTTTTGAAACAAAAACGTGGTATAGAGCACAATAAAATGGTAAAAAATGTTTCTGAATCCATGAAAATCAAGTATCCTTCTGGAAGAGGGCATATTGCTGATGAATGGGTGAACGACACTTTTCCCTTTTTTAATGTTTCTTTCTAAGATAGGATTTAGTAATTGCGTACCTTGCCTAACGCGTTCAAGTTCACGATAATTGAACACCACCAACGAATTGAACCCAGCACCTTCAGGTTCCGCAGCCATTGAGCTACTGGGTCAGAATCCAATAGACCATGTTTCCAACTTTTGTTGGTCCACGACGTAGCGTGATCATCACTAAATGTCATCGTTGTGTATGCGTCCTCATATCCACAAGGTGTACCACAGTGGTCATGATTTCTCATTGAAACTTTAGGAATCACCACTCGAAGTTAGTCACAAGTGGGTACTAGATTAATTCAACTTAGAGGTTTGCTTCATTCACCACGATGTCGCTTAGTATGTAAATTTGACAATTTCAGTGTTATTAACTTAACTTATGCTGACCAGTATTACCGTGGTAACTCACAAAAAGTTCCAGTGAGAAGTTTTGACGGATGGGGCAAACATAGTGGACGTGAGGACACATACTCAACGATGACATTCGGTGGTGGATGCGCTATGTCATGAACTAACTGAAGTTAGAAATATAAACCACTGGATCCCGACCCAGTGGCTCAATAGAAACGTGCTGACCACGCATTCTGAAGGTTCTGGGTTCGATCTACTTGTGATGTCATGGGTGTGCACTGCTCAGGAGTCCCATACTAAGAGGAATCAGCTTTCCAGTACTCCCAGGTTTCCAATATTTCTCCAAACGATGTCATTCCATGATGAATACCAACCTGAAGTAATTAAATAGCCGGTAAAGCCACGTAATATGGAGAGTGTGTTGAGAAGTTACATATAGCAAATAAGACGAGTAGTAAAAAGAGCCAATGATTGCTCAAAAACTAATAATTTGTTCTGATACGAAACTTGAAAACAAAGTGTTATGTTTACGCCTTTGGAGGCTTGGGGAGCCTTGGATCTAAAGAGACTGTTTGAAATCGTGCATTTTCCCCTTTGACAAATTTAAACAAAGCAAGAACGAATAGACTTATAAAATATAGATTTATTTCACTGGTATTCATCAGTTGTATACAATATAAAATTACCTATCTGAGTCAAGATAAATAAAATTTATACGTGGTTTTATTAAAAATGTTAGATCTTGAAATGGTGGAGAATATTTGTAGTTCAGGTGGATACTCTTAGTTTTATTGTCTTTTCTGAGCTGAGTTGCTTAACTGTGGAGCTTTCATCGTCTTTCTAGACGACATCATCAGCACTAACTTCAGTATAAAGTGAACTGTCAATATCTCTCCGTGAGTGATTTAGTAGCTTGCCCTGACCAACTAGATTGTGATTGGTTGTTTCCTTTGTTAGCTGTTTCATTGACTGTAAAGATTTTCCTATTGGCTATGCCTCTGCTTGACCTCTGACCTTTCAGATATAGTCTAGAAAGATGATGAAAACTCTACAATTAAGCAACACAGATCAAAGAACACAATACAACCTAGAGTTTTAGATCTGTTAAAATGTTATGAAATGAACAACAATTCAAGGAAAGATAACTGCTACACAATTGAGAAGTCCACAAACAATAAGATAGCAACAAAACAAACGAAAATGACCAAAATTCTTTAGTTAGGAAAAAGACCATAGTATAACCCAAAATAACAACTATTTACCAGAGTAAAAAGTTCTAAAATTCTATATGCGAAGTGACGCTAACTCAGAAAGAG